TGGATGAGAAAAATCCTATTTTTTAATTACTACCTCCGTCCCTTAGTATTTGTCCAGTTTTGACTTTTCCGACTAATTGTTTTCAATATTTGACTTAGAATTAAATAAAATATATATTATATATTAAGTATATAAAAAATATTTTGAAAATGGATGATATAATAAATCTAATAAAACTAATTTTGTATCAATATCTAATATCGTTTTTATTTAATTTGAGGTCAAAATTTACCAATTCTGACAAAAAAAAGTTAAAAGTTGACAAATACTCAGGGACAGAGGAAGTATATAATTATAAGGTTGGTAATTTAGGTTTTTTAAATTAATGTGAGGAAAAAAAACCATTGGATCACTAATACCATTGTATTAATATATTTTCGAATTTATACTGCGCCAAAAATTATAAATTTGTAAAAATACATTAAACATAGATCATTTATATTTGACCTTAAAATAATATGTCAAATTTAAATCAAGATCCACATTATAGAATCGAAAAAAATTCCGTCCGAACCCGTGCATGGCACGGGTAGAAATACTAGTATTACTTTAAGGGTGTGTTTTGGGGCATTACAAAAAATATATTCATAAAAACAAAGATTTTCGTTATATATTTAAATGTATTCAATGACTTCACATTAAACTATTAATTTCTTATAAAGTATTTACTTTGTCACAAATTAATCGACATATTAGATGTCAAAAAATACAACATAAGCAACATAATACTTCGATTTTTAGACATTAAAGTCTCATATATATATATATATATATATATATATATATATATATATATATATATATATATATATATATATATATATATATATGGGCGTGTGTGTGTGTGTACGTGTATGGTACATTTGAATGTTTGGTATTTCGATTCTCATATAATGACGAATGGTCATTTACGAGTAATCAAATATTAATTTTGTATATTTTATTATTTTAGTTGAAATAAGCATTGTGTTACTTGTAGATATATACCCGGTCACTCAATACTCTATTAGCGAGGGTTACTCAGCACCGGTCAGACAGTTAGTTGAAAATATGTCAATTGAGCTATAATCTCAGTCGCGTAAGGGTGAGGTTTCATGTGTGGTACTCGCAGAAGCCCAATATTTTGCACGATTGCGTCTCATCACAGTCATCAGACTTCAAACTCGGTATCTTTTCCTTGTAGCACTCTTATGCCAATCGCTCAGCTACGTCTTTCGGGCGTATACTTTGTATAAAAATAATAAGTATTACCGTATGTAGTTTTCTAAAGAACAAATAGGTATTTACAATATACATAATTTGAACATATATTAAAATAAATAAATACGTAAAATTAGTTCTCTTACTCCAAAATCCAAAATGAGTATCTAGGTGGAGGTTGGAAAAAAGTTCAAAAAACACTTGCATCGTTGCATTGCAGAAAATAAAAAGGAACAAGTGGTTAGGCGGGCACTGGTTGAGTTCCTTACTGCAGCCGACTGCTTCTAAACGTTTCATCGTTTTTCTTTCACCGCTCAATGGAAATCGATAAGGTAACGCTTAAGCTTCTATGCACGTTCTTCAATTGTTTTCCTTTCTATTCGATTATCATTTGTATATTGCTTCCCTTCGCAAAAACGTATTTTTGTTTTGACAATGGCTTATGCTCAAAAGTCTTGACTCTCCATTTACAATAAAACTGATAGAATTTAAGATGAGATATGAACAACTGGATTAGGCAATAAGACATTTGGGCTGAACCACATTAAAAGATTGAATCCAATCGATTAGTTAGTTTAACTCAAGAGCTTATATACCGGATTATTTTACTCTTGAACTTGGGATGCACTTTAACACTCCCCCTCAAGTGGACAACCGGGCCATTTTGAATCTAACCGGTTGACCACTTGCAAATGAACTCCCATTCCCTTGATTTTTTTTATTTGAGCGCCAACACCTAAAGGACCACGAGCCACTGAGCATGGACTTCCAGACGAGCAATCGTCTAGGAATGAACGTCTAGACAGACACCTTAACAAACGAGGTGGGCCAAAACCTGCTTTGATACCATGATAGAATTTAGGATGAGATATGGACAACTAGATTAGTCAATAAGACATTTGGGCTGAACCACATTAAAAGATTGAATCCAATCGATTAGTTAGTTTAACTCAAGAGCTTATATACCGGATTATTTTACTCTTGAACTTCCGATGTGGGATGCACTTTAACAAAAACAATAGATTTAACTTATCTGCAAAACATGTTTAAATACTTTAAATAAATTTGCATGGAAATTTATAGCTATTTCATAAAACCTACAACCTTATTTCTATTGTACCCTATGGGAGTGGGACCAATTCAACCAAAAAATTTCAACTTATGGTTTGAGTCTTAGGAAAACATGCCATCATGGGAGACAATGTCTTCTGGGCTTGGAGCGTAGATGCATCAAAGTCCCATGCATACCTTGTGCATAAATCAACATGAGTTGTTGATAATCGAATTCACAACTTCTAGGTCAACTAGTCCCGATACCGTGTCAAGGAAGCAACTTAACCAAAATCGTTGACCGTTTGAGGCCACCGAAAGATCTGTACTCGAAAAATTATGTCGTTTTCCTTGAATTATGTATTGGGATTCATAATCTGTTAGATTTAAAAGTAATAAGGTATTGAATAATTTGTTTCAATTGCAAGTAATGTAAAAATAATGTTTCAGTAAACTGCTCAATTTAGTCCTTCATTACTGTTTTAGTGCCCTTTAGTCACTTGACTATTATGACTATACTCCAACACCGGATTTTTGTGTTAATCAATCATGAATTTCAGTACTGGACCAACAACAACAACAACAACAACATCCCAGTTGAATCCAAAAAAAATGATTTACTAATGTTGAAGTGATGAATGTATAAATCAGGAAAACGCCTACAAGAATTTGATTTCTGAACGAACTCCTTTGATAAATTTACTGAAAATGGTATAAGATGTCTATAGTTTTTTCTAAGCTAACTTTGGACCATGGCTGTAAAAATTACATGATGGAAGGACTAAACGTGGCAGTGAATAATAGAACCAAAAGAATTATTATTGACAATGTTTTAGATTAAGGTAAACAATGGACTTAATCAAAATGAAACATTTAACCCCTCTTTCATTCTAACTTTTTATGAAGTTTCAGATAGTAAATGCAACAGTGCATCAGGGTCTAATAGAAATAGGCAAATAGCCTCTCAGTTTTTACAGGACTCAGGTTGCGTACATTTTGACTCCCAGACCCCAACAGAGTTAGGTTATACTAGCTTTTGTCGTTGTTTACATGGTAGTAAAACAATAGTTCACGATTAAATTGAGTTGGATAATACTGGGTTTGTTGTCGTTGTTAACGTGGCATTAAAACAATAGTTCAAGACTGAGTTGAGTATGTACAGGACTGGATTTGGCATTAAAAGAATAGTCTAGGGACTAAATATGATATTAATTCTAAAACTACAATATGAATGTTATAAGTAAGGTAGGCTCTCACTGTAGGGATCCCAAAATAGGAAGTGGGCCTATTGAAGCAGATGGTGATAGTATCTTGACTTTTTCAGTGCATTCACTGATTGCAGTTTGTACAATACGAAATTTTATTAGCCATAAGGCTAAGTTACCAAAGACAAGCATTTAAGAGTGGAACTGTGACTCAGTTTCTGATGCATTCTGCTCGTCCGAAAACAACCATATAGGATAGATTTTGTGCAATATTTTGGGTTGTTATAAGAGTCAAGCTTGAGTTTTGTTCGGCTGCCATTTAAATAAAGTAGTCTTCAGACCGTGAAGCAGAATTATTAGGCCATTTTATAATGGAGTTTCCTAGAAATTAGCAGTTATGTGTTAAAAGTGTGATTGTTCTTATAAAATAACAAGCGAGGATGGTCGCACATGACTTTTCTTATGAAAAATGAATAAATAACTCAATGGTGATGCTTCTATACTCATGTAGAGTGGACTCCAAGCCAGGCTTTCCCTATCTATGTGGTAATGGGTAATGAAAAAGGGGGCTTCATGATTCTTAAAGGATGTCAAACTGTCTTTGTAAATGAACCTTTTTTGGTTTCTATTGTTTGATTTATCTAACTTGTGGATTTTGAACAACTTTATGGTGGTCTTTCATTGTCCTTTTTCTAGAATGCGCATCACACAGACACACACACACACACACATTCATGCAAGGAACCTATGAGTAATTGTGAGATTTTACACTTACTCACTTAGTGACAGTGATTATTATTCAAATATCATGGGGCAACTTATTAATTTCATAATTTACACAAAGTGGATTCCATATTTTGTTAATATTTAATTAATGCCAATTTACTTCTTTGTTAACTTGCAGTGTTCAGCCAATGATGCTGCCCAGGCTGATGCCCCTAATATTCTATTGAATCTAGAGCTTCCGACAAATGACCTCTGGTTCAAGAAAAAGAAGGTTGGGGTTCCTGATGCAAAGTATTATCTTTTCTTTTTGTCATTCACATGTCACATACTCTATCTGTACAAAGTGTGCTTTAGGCCTTCCCTTTTCTGTTTATTTATTTGTTTATTCAGAAACTACTGGAGGACATAGGTTTTAATCCATCAGGCCCTGTTTGCCTGCAAAGTTTTGCTACTGCTGATCAGTTAAAAACTGCTCTAACAGTAATACTTCAACGAGCTAGAATCATAAACTTAGATGAGGTATTCCTCCTGCACCTCCTTGGGTGCGTCTTTGATGGAGTATTATTAAGCATAGTAATTTCCTTCTAAATTGTATATCGTTAATCCAAATGTTACTCTGAGGTGCAGCTAGAGCTTTATTTTGGTGGAGACAATCTTAATAATCTGGTTGGCTTCAATAGTTCAAGGAATGAACTAGAGGCGCTGCGTTTAGTGCTCGCAGCCATTGATGAGGCAATCCCCAGCAGTGAACACGCTACTGCAGTTGCATTGCTAGATTTACGCCAGGCAACTGTTGATCTGTTATGCGAATTCTCCATTAAAATCAGGGAGGACACTAGAATTTGTGCAGAAAAAAGAATTGAAAAGGAGAACTCTTTATTACAGTGGGGGGAAAGCAATGGTGTGAAGTCAAAGTTGAGGATTGCTTGTAAGTTCTTTGAGTACTAAATTGTGTTGCCCTGGGAGATAAGCCTCATACAAATGATTCATTCATCTTTCTGAGTGTTTCAAAATAATCCAGAAAAACAAGAAATAGATGGTACACCCTCTGATATATATCCGGGAGCAGGCCCGAAGACCGTCCGTAGCCCGCCAGGGGAAAGACGGATCAGGGGAATAAAGCCCAAGTGTGATGACATTAATTGGGTTGAAACTTCTCCATTTTCCTGTCTTAGAACCCAACCCAACACCATGGTTGTCCTACACCCACCCTAGGCTGAGCCCACACTCCCCATACCTTCCCTAAACATCCAAAATATTTCCTTTTCAAAATAAAGTTTTTCCTACTCTTATTTTAGCCATGGCCGAAAATAAGAGTGTATAAACCAAAACCTTTTTGTTTGTTGTTATTTTCCTTCTTTTAAGCCTTTTAATAAACCAGTAAAACCCTCTCTTCCTTCCTTTCATTCCCTGCCCAAATAAACCTCACAATCCCAACACAACACCCACAAAGAGCCAAAACCATGACCCACCTCCAGCCCCTACTTCCTGCCCATGTTTTCCCTCACAGTAACCCAAAGCCATAACTCCAAAATACCCATAAATAATACCCAGCCCTGTCCCCTTTTAATGACCAAAAACAACCCCTCTTTTATTCCCCAACATTGACCAACCATTGTCCCCCTTGTGTCTCCCACCTAGGCTGAATAAACAATAACAAAAGGACAAAAGACTTTTGTGAGTTTATTGACACTCCACCCACCAAATCAGTCCCCACATACCTTCCATGAATGACCCAATATAAGGCCAATAAAACCAACCCCTTTGTCCCCCATTATTTCCCAAGAATCATCACTTATTTCCTTGTGATTTTCCTCACTAAAGGACAAGCCACCAGCCATGAAAATCAAAGACCAAATCCCTGATTTCATTCCATTAAGAAAACATAAACAAATGGATATTATTCTTGTGATTTGTGAGTGGATGTTTCTGGGAAGTTTCCCCCCTATGTGTGTGTATTTATTTCGGCCTTAGGCCCTTTTGTGAGACTCATATTGTAATTCCATTTTCCAATTAGTAATACACTTGTTGTGTTTGCTATTTAAATTCCTAAATCTATATCTTAAGAGTGGTTATCTTAAGTGTGAGTTTTAGGTTCTAGATATTTAGTTAAGTGTGTTATATCTTAATTAAGTTCTAGACTTAACCCCAAGTTAAGATAAGAGTGTGTAATATCTCTTAAACACCAACTTGGTTTATCCCTTCATTTTACCTCTTCCCATATCATATCTCTCCATTTCTTCTTCTTAAACTTAATTCTTTTCTTTCATCCAAAAATACCAAAAAGAACTCCTCCTGCATATATCACCATTTCACCCAGGCCTCTTCGAACATATCTCCTGCATTTTCCTTTGCATTTTCAAGCCAAGAGAACACCCATACCTCCCCTTTTCATCCCTCACCAACTCGACCTATAACACTGCCCATTCATTTCCTTTACCGATTCCCCATCAACTTTCCAACTTGATTAGACCCCCGGTTCACCCCTAACACCCTCCATCCCAGTGTATTTGTCCAGTTTGACTTTTTCGAGTTAGGAAGAATTTTAATCATCAATTACTCTTAATTTGTATTGCATATCAATACAAGATATTAAAATGTCAATAGTTCTCAACAAGATAAACTTATTGAAATAATTTTTATACTAAAATACATTATTATTTTTATTTAACTGAGGTCGAAAATTTGTCCAGTTTGACTCAAAAAAATCAAACTGGACGAATACACTTGGATGGAGGTAGTATTTGGTATGTGTAGACACATGCACATTAGTATGCAATGGAATATCCAATGGCACTTTCCCCTCCTTTTTAGGGAACGTAAGACATTTCCTACAAATAAATGAAAATATTTCAAAAATCAAAATGTTCTGATATACTTGCAAACTTTAATTGTCAGATGTTGAAGGAGCTGGAAGAGGGGCCATAGCAACACAAGATCTGAAAGTTGGTGATGTTGCACTGGAGGTTCCGATATCTCTCATCATTTCTGAAAATCTTGTTCATGAATCTGACATGGTAAATGCCTTTTTTAATAATTGTGTTGCTCATGAAGCAGTTTTTCCAATTTTTTAATGTGCATCAAACTTGAATATTTTGACCTTCTTTAAGCAAGGAAGACTCTTAAACAAAATAATAGTTTATCACTCTAAAAAGTTGGTAAAAATAGTTCAAAGATTTAAAAACTCTTTAATAATACTCCCTCCGCGAGGATTTAGGTGCCCACTTTTTTGTTTCATTTTGTTTGGATTTGGTGATCTATCCATTTTCAATAAATAAATTATGATTAACTGTCTAACATTTCCTAGAGATAGGCGACAAACTCATTTGAAGGACTCATTTGACATCTTAACTCTTAAGCTCATTTCTTAAAAATGAGATTTTTAGATAGTGGACAACTAAAGCTGGACAGAGGGATACTTTGCAGGAAATAATAGACTACATCGTAATTATAATGGCTAAGATATGTTTAGTTGCTAGATTAGTTAAAGAATAGGTGGTTTCCTTTACATTACATCTATATTGTAACTCAATAGTCAATAGTATTATAAATTTTCAACCCCTTTCAGTTTCTCTAAATACATACTAGTGATACTACGGGTGGAATGGTGAGATTAGTTGTGAAATTATTGATATTACTTCATAGTCTTACATTTTTAACAATTTCTTCCTCTTCTAGGACAGTATTCTATTTTGAAAGAAAAGGACGGGATGTCCTCAGAAACATTGTTATTATTGTGGAGCATGAAGGAGAAGCACAACTGTAATTCGGAATTTAAGTTATATTTCGATACACTGCCTGAAGTATTCAATACAGGTTTACCATTTTTTTCTGTATATTTCTCAAACACAAAATTCAATGGTTTCCTCAAGTGCTTTGTTGTGAAAGTATAATGTCTCTTTTCATGCATAAAATATTAATATTTCTATTTTGACCTATTACTGAAACTGTTGTTGATTCAAAAGTATTTCGATACAGAAATCAATGTTTTTTGCCATTTTATTTTTACATAATTGAATATAACTCTGTAGATCAAACTTTCATTTGCTACCCATCAACCCACATTCATCCACAAGGTACATAAGGAAAAGTTGTTCAGTTGTAATTTGTAAAAACTGAAGAATTATTTAAATACATTCAACACTTTAAAAGCACATTAAAGAGTTGAATGCATATTCTTTTTAATGACCAGTTATACTTTACCATTGCGAGTGGGCTGGGTGAGTGCATTTTAAAATTCGATGCCCTCTTCGAAACATTCAAAATAATGCTAAAAATTTATGTGCACAGTAATGTGACCCTAGTTTTTCTCTTCATTGACATGTTTTCTTGAATAATTGAGCTTCACCTTTTTGTTTTTTTTTTTCAAATTCTTAAATGATAGGTTTGAGTTTTGGGGTTGAATCTATCATGGCGTTAGATGGAACCTTGCTATTAGAGGAGATAGTGCAAGCAAAAGAGGTCTCTACCTTCCCTTAAAGAATTTCCCTTGTTTATTCATCTTTGTTTGCTTGTGAATTATTTTGGATCGCTGGGTGGGTGGACTTACTTTTTCTTCTCAATTTATATCATGGATACCTATTTTTCTTTTAGAAATGGTCGAGAATTAGGAAGTATATATTTTTTAAAACTGTTGTGATGTATTTTTCTTGTAATCATAGTTGTTAAGGCGTCGCCTAGGCGATAAGGCGCTATGCCGTGGACGCCTTATGTGTCCGCCTCAACCAGAAACCTTCGACGCATTGAGGCGCTCGCCTAGGCGTCGCCTTACCCTCACCTCAGGCCTAGGCATCCAGTCGTGGACAGTTTTTAAATTGTGAAAGCCAAATTTTAAAAAGTTTTGACTTAACGTCGCCTTATCTCTTGGGTCTAAATGATAATGACTATCTTGAGCATGATTGTGGTGTTGACTTGTCTAGTGTCCATGATGATTCTATGGATATAGATACTGATATCCATATGAATGACATGTTCAAGGATAATTCTTAAACATGTTTGGGTGATTAAACTAGTAGGATGGAGATGAACTTTTATTTGAACTGTGTTGTTATTTGATGTCTTTTAAATGCTTACAACAACCCAGTTGGATCCCACAAAGTAGTGTCTGGGAGTGTATCTTCTAAATGCTTGTGAAAACTTAATTGTTTGTCTCAAATTATGTGTAGACTTTAATTTTACATATGTTGTTCCATATATCTATTTGTGGTTATATTGTGTGTGTGTGTGTCTATATATATATATATGGGATTGACTCCAGTGAGATGACACCTTACTATGAGATGACATGCTTCGGTCAGATGACACAAAGCTCACCACTAGTCACTGCAAAGCTCACCAAAGACAACTATAAAGCTCACCAAAGTGTAAGGCAAAGCTCACCATATTTTTTCAACACTTTGAATTTTTTTTCCAAAAAAAAAATCAAAGGAAAGGGTGCTGACTAGACTTTGACTGTTGACCGCCAGCATTGACCGCCGCCTGCCACCGGCCGCCGTCCGCCGGTCGCCGGTCGTCGCCGCCGCCGCCGGTCGCCACCATCGCCGGACTCCGGCCGCCACTGCTGCTCCGCCGCCCTTGACCGGTGGTTGACCGGTGTTGTTATTTTATTTTTAATTAATTTTTTAATTTTTAAAATTTAAAAAAAAAAGGTGAGTTTTGGGGTTCAAAGTGGTGAGCTTTGCTTTATTTCCATGTGAGCTTTGCATTGTCCATTGGTGAGCTTTGTAGTGTAATGTGGTGAGCTTTGCTTTATTAGCTTTTTTTTTTAAAAAAAGTGGTGAGCTTTGGATTGTTCCTTGGTGAGCTTTCTATTGACAGTTGGTGAGCTTTGCATTGATAGTTGGTGAGCTTTACACTTTGACCGCCCATGACCAATGGCCACCACCGATGACCCCCACTATTGCCGTGGACCGGTGGTTGAGCGGTGGTTGAGTGGTGGTTGAGTGGTGGTGTTATTTTTTTAACTTTTTTTATTTAAAAAAAGTGGTGAGCTTTGCATTGACAGTTGGTGAGCTTTGCATTGGTAGTTGGTGAGCTTTGCATTGGCAGTTGGTGAG